CAAGGATACATTATTTTACCCCTATATGGATTACCAAACTGGCCTACCTGGAACACACCCAGGAGATCTAGGAATCAGGAGCCAGTAAGCCAGAGCCTGACACTGAAGTGACTGTTATTCACATTTATTTGTTGTAAAAAAGACAGTTCTTGGGGGAAAATGAATCTATAATCTCTTGTTTGTTTTAAAAATGAGCAAGGACACAATGTTTTCTTTCTACAGCTGCAAAATGTACACTTAGGTTTCACAATGTCCATGAAAATTAGTAAAGAAATGTAAATGTTGGAGAGAACATTTTTGCCCAAAGAAAATATGACCAGCATTTCAGACTACTTCTGATGATTTGTTATAACTTTTCTAACATTTTCAACTTTTTTTCATGACAGAAAAATTGTAACTGCTCTTATTTACTACTGACAATGGCAAATTTGACAATATAGCACATTTCAATACACATGAACTCAACAAGTCTTTATGCTGAAAGACTAAATTTGAAACTGGGGCACATGCGTGCATGAGAAAGTAGGAAGCATAGACAAGACAAACAAAAGCATGAGCAAAAATGTAGAATCTAAATCAATAAAGGACACACCCACTGTACATTAAACATACCACACAGCAGGAAAAACCCCAAAAGTTAAACACAATCAGATAAAAACCCCGACTCAAACACAAAGTCGTACGAGTAACAAATATTACAAGAAACAAGTGCTGCATCAGAACGCATACACACTGTACATAAACACACAGTAATCAACCACTGGCCTGGGAGAGACGCAAAGTTTGCAGTTTGCTTTTGAGTGTGGAAACAGATGTGATGGACCTCCAGCCAGCAGTCAGTTTGTTCCAGACAAGGATTACTGTAACTGAAGGAGCTGTTGCCTGACTTGGATCTAAATCTGAAAACAGGTAGAAGACTGATGATAGGAGGGGTCTGATTGGGTCATAAGAAATAGGCAAGTCAGAGATGTACCACAGAGCCAAACTATTCAGTGTTTTATGGACATTTAGAAGGATTTTGAAGGTGATTCTGTACCTTACTGTGAGCTGGTGAAGTGACTTCATTACCAGAGCGATACGCTCAAACGTCCATGTCAATGGTAAAACCTCTGCATGGTGCATTTTAACTGAAATGAAGCCATTCTAATTTTTTGACAGTCCCGTAAGCAGAGTGTGACAACTGCTTAAAATGAACACGGAAACAGTTTCTGGTTGCCAGTTTGTGATGCAAATATTCTCTTTTGATAACGTTTTAAGGGATAAAACATTCTGATGATGTTGGAATGAGATTTTCAAAACTGAAATTATCTAAACAATGCCAAAGTTTGATTTGTTCACTGCATTTCAGAGACAGCAATGCAAAGTGTGAATAGATCAACCAACTGAAGGCAGTGTATTGTAAGGATTTATTTGGCAGACCTGGTGACCATGATCCTTTATACTAAAGACTGTAGTTTAAAAAAAAAAAAAAAACAGTACTGAATGTAAAGAAATCAAGCTTCACCTGTTCCAAAAAAAAAAAAATCAAACAAATGTCCATTCTTGGAGGTGGGTTGACAAAGCTTTGTCTGATTACTGAACCCTTGGTAATCAACTTCCAACTGAAACATGAAATTGCAGCCCAATATTATTTCAGAAACAGCCAAGATGATTGCACTACCTACCAGATAAATACTCAGTCAGAAAAAATATAAAACCCCAAAAGGTTAATTGTACAAAATCATGCAAATGTTGGCCCTTGTATTCAGACAGTCAAAGGTACAGGAAGCAGTCAGTCTATCATGACAGAAATACTATCAAAGTCAATCTAAGATTGTATCTGCATCCCCAACATAGTCAGAATAAATAAGCTTTTATTCATCACACAGGTTGTGACAGCCATGTCTTCAGACCTCATGTTTCATCTGGTTGCATGGCAATGGCTTCCCAAGGTGAAGCCCCACAGTCTGTCCAGACACTTCACTGGCTAGTTTCAGTCATTTGATCCAATTTATAGTCTGATGGAATAAAACTGATCTGAAATCCAGTCAAACCTGGTAATCTGGGTTTAAAGCAGGGGTCTCAAAGTCCGGTCCTCGAGGGCCGCAATCCTGCAAGTTTTAGATGTTTCCTTCTTCCAACACACCTGATTCAAATGATCAGCTCAGCATCAAGCTCTGCAGAAGCCTGATAACGATCCTGATCATTTGAATCAGGTGTGTTGGAAGAAGGAAACGTCTAAAACTTGCAGGATTGCGGCCCTCAAGGACCGGAGTTAGAGACCCCTGCTTTAAAGGAACCTTGCAGAAGCATTAAACTGAAATAAGACAGCTAAACCTTTGACCTGTATGGCACACTGGGGCAAGAAAAACAAAATACATGTTCTTGCTTAGAGTCATGTTGACAAAGAAAAGCTCAGATTAAATTGTGGCCAGTTGCTCAGAAATGGCAGAAAACTGACATCACATTAAGACCTTCTAGCTGTAGCCAATATACAAAAGAAACAGGAACCACTCAAACCACCTTCCAAACACTCCACTCCGAAGTCAGAATAAATAAGCCTTTATTCATCATACAGGTTATGACAGCCATGTCTTCAGACCCCATTTTTCATCTGGGTGCATGGCAGCGGCTTGCCCAGGTGAAGCCCCACAGTCGGTCCAGACTCTTCTCTGGCAAGTTTCTCAGCAACATCAGGCTTCAGCAGGAAGCCCGTCTCCTTCTCAAAGAAGTCCATGGGAGGAAAGGAGAATGGCTTTTCATCAAACAGCTTGTCCAGTCGTGTGCGCCACTCATCCAGCATGGACTTGCGGGCCTCACAGGTCGCAGAAGAGGGAGCCCAGAAGATCTGAGGGTCCAGAACCTGGAAGCCACAGTAGTGCAGGATGCCATTCTGCAGAGAGAAAGGGACATTTGTCTCATCATTCAATGTCATGTCCACATCTACCAGCTCATTCAATGCTTGACTGAGAGTTCACAGTCAAACAGTACCTGCAGCGGCCACAGTGTGACATTCATGTCTCCATGAATGCCATTAGCACTGAACATGGACTGTTGAGACCCAGTGGTGAAGGACAGCATGGCTTTCTTGTCCTGGACACAAAAAAGTGAACAGGTTGAGAAAAGGAAAACAAACTTTCAATTCAAGCCTCAGAATGATCCCTCACCTTGAACATTCCCTGGCTGTAGCACTTCTCTTGTGTGTAGGCAAAGTCTGGTGAGAGCACCCGATCAATCCAGCCCTTCATGATGGCAGGAAGGGTGAACCAGTACATGGG